AAACTTTCGATATCGCGACGAGTCGATCGTGTACGAATCATCTCCTATCGGATTCAGGGTACTTTTTTCACTGAGCGCGCCCAATTATTCGTGTAATGAAAAGTCGATATCGCGCACGCGGTGCTGTCGCGCAACAGCGTGGTTAAATACGAACATGTGTGTCCCTATGCAATGTTTAACAACGCTAAACCCGATGATACACACTCCATAAGATATATTTCCACTTTTCACTGATTAAATTTATCTATCCTTGTTGATGTTTGTCCTTTCCTCGCGAATTATACATACAAATTATGCATAAAAATTATTATACAACATTATACAACATTAATATTGCATTTGCATATTTTTACATGTAATTATGATAATATTTTGTCCAATGCATAATGTATTAAATCTTTTATTTACAATCATATTAATGTAATTAATTTCTTTATTTTGTAAAACTTTTTTGCAAAAACAATTGAGAGAAAAAGCAAAGTTTTTCATCAAAATTTGTTGGAAACTATTGAATTTTGTTTACATCTATTATTATAAAAATTCTAAATTTATTGCTTTAATTCTACTCAAATTTAGTACAATTATATGTATCTTCGCGTTTGTTTTTCTCAGAGAATTTCGCAAGAATTTCTACGCACATTGCCAATGCTTTTAAAATCTTTACCGAAGGTTCTAAAATTATCCAAATCTCCCGCCACGTTAAGATCTCTCTTACAATCTCGCGAGAAAAGTCTGTTTATCAGCTGTTCGAGTCTCGCACAAAACACATCCGGAAACTTTTTCTTTCTCCATCCGTCTCAAGAGCTTTGATCTTTACCTTCTTACGTGCGGAGAACGTTTTTTCGCGAAACGCGGAATCCGGATGCGGAAAAAATAAAAGGAAAGAAGAAAAATAAACTCCGCGATAAATTTTCGCGAAGAAACGCGTCGTGCGTGCGAGAGTCAATCCTCCTATTATCGTCGAACACCTCGTGTTTGCCGCGATGTCGAACTGGCCGGGGTGTTCTGGTTTCGCAGAGATTTCCCCCTCGGATCAGGGGATGGTGAGGTGGGGGGATTTCCCGGCGGCGACGATTTGAGCGGGAAGCATGCGCGTGTCGATATTGCGCAACCTGGGGCATCCCCGTCGCCCCGTTCCCCTTCCGCTTTCCGACCGGCTACGAGAATGGAGCCGTCGCTCTTTCAAGTGACAGAACGAATGAATAAAGATAGACTTGGATATGCTTACGCGCCACGCGACGTACGTGTTATTACAAAGTTGCAGTTGTACCGAGGAGCCAAGTTTAAAAAAAGGAGATGATAGCCTCGAGAAACTGCACATTCTGCTTTATGCAGAATATCTCGGACAGTTATAGATTTTTTGAGCATTTATTTCATCGGTTAAATATCATTTAAATATTGCTCGATACAACATTTCTGCGATTATTAATTCGAAATGAGACAGAGAGAAAAAGAGTAAGGGAGAATTTCCAAATTATGAAATATCTCAAAGCAACATGAAAACATGTGTGGCTACAATCTCTTTTGATTAGTGATACTTAAATGTATGCGTTATTCCAATATATCCTTCTATCCCTCCTGTTTATAGTGAATTTTGCAGTTGTTATTATCACAACGAATAAACGACATTTTAATTATGACTGCTCAATCTACATATTGAGCGAAATATTTGTTGGATGTCCAATGAATTTTAATTTATGATATGCGAAAATTATATTAAAGGCATCTATGCGAGAACATACGGCAAATTTTGCTCGAGCAATGCTTCTCATCAATTTTAATGTTACGTAGTTAAATTAATTGAATTTCATAGTTAAATTAGTTGAATTTCAAATGAAATAAAGATGATCAATTTTAGATGTAAAAGAGATTTTAAAAATCATTAATTTTAAAAATATTAAAAATAACGTTATATATATATATATGAAACGTTATTTTTAATATTTATATACACGAATAGATGCTATTAAAAGAGATTTAGAATGCTAATGATGTTAGTTTCTCACAGTTGTAAGCGTCTTTGCTTTGCTTTGATACTTTGCGATAATATTTCATACTATGTCCTTTCGAATGTTCGAAATTTCGAATTTAATGACAAAAATTTAAATAACAAAATGCTCTATTTTTTATTAGGAAAAAATAGTTCTTTTTCTTGTTACGCAATACGTCGCTTACGAGAAATCGGACGCATGATATGTATTTTATGTCGAACATCGTGCAAGTCACTGCAAAACTGTTTTTTCTCTTTCGCTAAAAAATTTATGGATGTGTTTGTCGCTCTCCGATATTAAGAGATGTTATTAGTGATCTTCAAATTGTCAAGATTCATCTAAGTATATTTAATCTTTCTAAATCTTCTCGATAAAAAAACAAACTTATCAAGCAACATCGTGCATGTAAGTACGAGTTATCAACTTTATTAACTTTAAACTATCATTAAAGAGATGATAAATATATATAGCTATCGTTTTTCTGTATATTTAAATGCAGTGTTTCTTTAGAATTGCATTTTTACAAAGATCATTATTTCTTAGTTTTTTCTAGTTGTAGCGAATAAATTAATTTGCATACTTTTATGAATAATACATTAAAAGTTATAATAGTTGTTTTGAAAGATAAACGAATGCGCAAACAATTTATATATATGCTAAAAGATGCTTTTTGCACCTTTTAAAAATTATATATTCTATTTTTCTCTTTCTCATCACAGTGAATGTTATCTAAAGATTGCAAAAATATATCCGTAGATTAAAAAATATGATTATACTATCTGGTTTTTTAATATTATACGCTAATCAATGTTTCAATTTTCTAAATAAAATTTAGATATATCACACATACCCTTCTTTATATGTACAGGTGTTTTTTTCTTCGCGTGACGCCATCAATCATCGAATTATGTAACTAAAGACCCTCGAAAACAGCCGTCTGCTCGTAGAACGATCTCTCAATTTCCGTAATTGAATAAATAGCGTTAATAAAATTGTGTCAATATAAAAACACGTTGATGAGAAAATAAATAATATTTTTGATCAGATTCCTATGTTTATCTAAAGATCTTCGACATCTTAATATGCAATAATAATACATTTTAAGAAAGATCGGATAAAATTCGAATAAAAAGGCAACGAATTATTGCGCACAGTCTGCAATTGTTCGTGGCACAAGTAAACAATTCTATTGAATTCGCGTGGTGTAAAACAGTGCAGAAGGCTAACGAATGCCATAATTAAGCGCATTCAGCCCGCCTAGTTTATATTGTCGGCTAGGTCATAGGTTGTCCTGAATGCGCGTTTGCAACACAATGTAGCCAATTGTACATTTTTTCCACAAATATAGAAATTTTGTCACAAGCAGTTTGCGTATTATTACTTTATCCTTTAAACAATAAAACCAAATTTATTCGAATATATTATAGATTTCTGCTAGATGATTATCGTGAGATCGCTCACGTAGCTCAAGAGTTAATTCCATCACTTATAGATGAGCCATTCAGCTATTTTCATTCAATCGTGAGAAGTTTGAATTGGACGTCCTCCAGACAGAATTTGAAGCACGTGACGTTTGATAGATCGTTCCCGCGTTGCTGGCAATCTTCCGAACGATTTATGTCTACTCATTAAGTGAGAATTTTGCTATACTGATTCATCAGATTATCCCGAATGTGTTGTGCGCCACGTGAATGACGGAATTTCCACAGGGAAAGGAAGTCTATACGTTGTTATATACGAGAAGCGACAAGTTTAAGCTATGCGAGACATAGTCCTTGCAAGTACAATGTTCCATCATATTTTCGTGGAACGAGAATAACGCCAGGTGTTACCTACACGATCATAAACGGAGTTGGTAGTTAAAGTTGTTACATACGTTCGCGTGTACAAGCATGCCCACCAAGTGTCGTTAACGGTGATCGAGTCGTGACGCCAGAAATAATCGCCACGCTCATCGGAAAATCTAATTTCAAGCCTGTCAGACACAATTTCCGTGGGCCGCGTTCAGCAAAATCTTCCATTTGCAACAAATAAAGACTTAAATAATTAAATTCTTAATTTACTTTCATTATTTTTAATTGTGCAAAGTTATTATCAGGTTATCGATTCTGCTTATATAACAATCGATCCGCAGAAAAATGAAAAATAATAGGTAGTAATTGGAGTATACTTCAATCTTATTTATGTCGATTCATTAAAATATAATTTCAAATATATATAAATACTATGATATCAAATAATTTAATAATTTAGTAATTTAATTATATACAATTATATCAAATAATTTAATAATTTAATCAAATAATTTATATCAAATAATTTAATAATTTAATTATACATGTACATTTTATTAAGGCACGGAAAATATTTTATATTATCATATAAAATTTTTTTTTAACATAATATAAAATATGTACAAGTGTTTCTGGAAGACGGGAGGCGTTTATGCATCACGGCAGATGCAAGTGAATTGCGTCCTACACTATCAATCCGTGCGTTAACGCCACTTTAGATAAAAATATTTGCACAGGCTGCAGTCTCACTAATATGCACTCATGTTGCACTCATTCCATCGTAAAACGAGATCTGCATATGAAATTTTCTGTCATCATAATACGGAGAATAATAACTGATATACATAATAATCGCAAAGAAATATGGATAAGCTGTTAATTCATACTTTACGTCGGATAATAATTTCCTATTATTGAATGATTATAGAAAAAAATGTTTTGATTTTTCCACTTAAATCGACGTGTTCGCAACTTATTATTACGATACCGTGCAAGAAGCTTCCGCGATTTTTATCCTCTCAAATCGTATCTTTCCGCTGCGACAGGCATAAATATAATTTTTATTTAGAATTAAAATTGTCTCTTGTAAAATAGAGGAAGCAACTATTTTCTAATACGGTAAATTTAATCGATAATACACGCATTTTTCCAATCACACAGTTTGTAACGATATCGCGAACGAATATACTTAAATTACATGATGATGCAAACTTACCTGTACTGATCGGTAAATATCCTGAAAATAAGAATTCATATTTATTCGACAACGTTCAACTATGTTCAGCATGCGGTTAGTAATACTTATGTTTAACTTGGAAATTACGAGAGATTACCATAATTACGATCGTAAATGTTATTGTATATCATCACGCGTAAGAGGCGCGTTTTATCGTGTATGAAATAAAAGATTTGCCAGGTAAAGAAGACGAACAAGCGTATCGTTTAAGTATAATTTCGCGACGTATTCAAAATTTCTATTTTCAAAATAAAAAAAAGATCGGCGATATTATTATAGCAGCAAATATTATTTTACGCGGTACACAATCTTCTTTATAAGCATGTCTTTACGATTTCAAAAACGCAATCTTTACGATTTCAAAAACGCAATCAAGTAGATTTTTGCCTATTTTTTAGCCATCTAAATCTAAATTTCAGCTCTAAATATCAGCAATGTAGCTATATTATAGAGTATAAGCAATGTTGCTGTTGAATACAAGCGAAAGATTTACATGATCTTATCTCTAAAGCTGTGTATATTCGCTGTAGTGTATGTGTGATCGATGTGATGGAATTTGCTCAATCCCATTCAGTTATTTGATCGAAAAATGATCGGGGAAATATGCACACGGATAATACAAAAAAAAAAATAAAGAGCGATTACGTCTCGATAGTCATAAGCGTGAATTATATTGCCATAATTCTGCCATTTTCTCAAATTTATAGAGCAATTAATCTCAAATTGGAAATAATTGATCGAGACTAATTACATTTTTAAAATTCACAGTTTTAACTCTCTACTTTCTCTTTACGGATAATTTGAATGCGATTTTAGTGACAGTAAAATTAGTGGCGTAAACTCATGCTTTTAAATGACCACACGAGAGATCAGCATTAATTAAATTTAGCGACAGATAGACGACATCCGTAAGAGTGTTAAACATAAAATCTCATAATATAATGATAAGAACTCTGCACGAATAAAGTGTAACATACGTGAGAATTGATCGAAAAGAGGATTGATTATCCAAATGGATGTGTTAATCAAGTATTATTTGGTCATTCGTATATATTACAGCGATGATCGTTATGTACGAGGATAGTAAACGACTTTATTAGTGTAGAGTTCGAGTGTAAAATAAAACGAGATGAGTTAGATAATAGGATCGAGTACATACGCTCGCTCGACAGGAAGCTCTGTCTCTTTGAACCTGCAACCCAAGGATCACATACATCATATCGTCACATCCCAACATCCACCAGCGACGATAAAACATTTAAATAAATGATAGATGATGCTTCTAAATTCTGCAGATTGCGTCAATATGCGATATTATTGTACGATATCAAATTAAAATTTTACAAATATTCATTATGTTACAATTTTACATTGTGCATCATGTGTATGAATAACGTAACGTTAATGTAACATTTCTCTCCCACGCATTGATGAAACGGATAATTGCTTTGATAATAATAATAATAATTAAAATTATATTATTATCACAGAATCAAAACATCTCTTGATGCATAGAAGTATCATCTCGCCGTGGATGATAGAATGCAAGTGAAATAATGATATGAGGGGAAAAACTGGTAAACATCATCGTTATCAAAAGGCTATGAAATTTATCAAGGTACATAGAAGCACGAAGATGACTCATGGACTGTTTGCGTACAAGTAGTTGTGGGACTAAACGGTGGTAAAATCGTTAGACGCATAAATGTCAATCGCAGGCAACGAAGAGATCCCGTATATTTTCATATAGTTGCAAATGGTGGCAAAAAATTTGCGAAACACGTGGCACCTGTCCTAATAATTAATATACATTGACGTACACGTTAATCATCTAACACCTTTAGTCTAAACTCTTAGTCTAACATCCACCTACATAGATAACATAGTATCTTGCTGCGATAAATAATCCTGGCGCCACCAACAAGAATCTCCTATGTTATCCACCAGTTTCATCGATCAATCCAAAGTTCCCGCCTCGTAGCGGAAACTTCAAAGGCACCTACATTATCGATACGCGTTCTCTTCGTTGCCGCAAAAATGTCCTCACAACCTCCAATGATACTACAGATTGGCACCAAACAATCACCAGCTTGCCTCTCTTGCTATATAAGACGTAAGAAATATCGGAGCAAGATGAGAGGATTTTGTATCACATGATTCATACACTTTTTTTTCAATAACCAAAATTTTCAGGCGCGAGAATGTAAAATTACAGGAACGTGCCGAAATGTGTGCATGCATATAAATTTTATATAAAAAACATATGTGTATATTACAGTATAATTTTGAAATTTAAGCCAACAATTGGTGTCCTTGTAGATCAACAGTTCAAATTGCGATTTAAATGAATAAATAAGGCAAAAAGGTTCTTTGTACACGAAATTATGTTAACTTGCTATGTATTCACAATCGTATAAACGCTGTTTCGACGTTCATGATTTTGTATTTTTAACAGAAAAGATTTTACATTTAAATTTTGAAATTAAAAGAATTTGCGATATCATTCACAAAGTTTAAATTGTTGAACAATGCGTTTAGCAAAATAATTTTTATGTAAGTATCATTTATTATTTATTACGACTCATAGCAAAGTATGATTAAGTATTCAACAGTTCAGCTCATGAATAAAATTTTCCGCTAAAAGATGGGAGATAAAAGAAAAAAAATATAAATCATAAAAACTACTTGATTAATGCGTTTATTTATAAACGCATAGTCAAGTGCAACATTATGAATGTCATTAGGATCACATGCGTAATAAATAAATAAGGGGCACGTGTCATCATAAATCATGTGTCCGACTTTTAACTCTCTCTTTCCCAAATTCGATATTCAGTGTAATACTAATAAATCTTCCTCTGGCGGTTAAAAGGGGGTATTATGAATTTTCCGCTCCAGCGAAACGTCGAAACAACCTTCGATACGCCCTATCTTTGCGTTACTCACATAAGCCCGATCGATTTAACGATAATCGACTTATAACGCGCGCGAAGGGAGAGATAGATATCAATTGAAAAATAAGGCTGCTCACCTCTCGCTGGCGATGGAGCTGTTTCGAGACATCGATTTCGGTGACATCTCGAAATCGCTATCGCTTCGATAAAGGAAGCTCTCCCTTCTCTGGGGCAGTGTCTGGAGAACGAGCCCCGCGCTTGGTGAAGCGCCGCCGCCCCCGCCGGCACCGCCGTCCAATGTCGAGGCGCCATTTTCCACATCGAAACTGTAATGAGAAATATAAATTCTTATTAGAAAGGCGAGCTACGAATTTTTCATCTCGAAAAACTCGCACGAGATATTCTTCAATCTCTACGCGCGAAGAATTATCTTTCCGGGGGATAAAAAATTATGCACTGAGAAAAAATCTTGTTGCATTAATTAGAAAGCTGGTAGATTCAATTAGTGTGTCCGTTGGAGAATGGACGAATGAGAATCCTTTAGGAATTACCAGATTAATTTCTTGTTTTCTGTTAAATTTATCAAATTTTCCGGGTAATAATACTAACTTTATAAAAAAATGGCATCATTGTGTCCATGTTTAGTTAATATAACAAGAAGTTTTATAGATCCAACTAGAAAATACTAATCAAATCCTTATAGTAAATTTGATTAAATGATCCAGTTATAAAAAAATCGAGTCTTATCGTGATAACTAAAAATTCTGTTTGGTTAAAATGCCTTCAGATATGTCTTATTGGTACAATCAAACGATTTTTCTCAGTGCGCGATTTTTGTATCGATCTTGCTTTTTCATGTCAAAAATTTCGCGCACTAACAATTCTAGCAACTGACAAAATTAATATTAAAAAGATCCACGATTTTCCATGGATTTTAATGACTTCGTTCGCCTTTGCTTTGATGTGATAAAACGGATTTATTTATAAATTGTATATATATCATACATATACACGTGCTGAATCGCCACGTGGAAGCACAAAATATAGTCTTTGCTTCATGATTTCGCACAGGTCGAAGAATACGACCATATATAATACAGCTCCGATATTTCGAGTATGATGAATGGAGCACGCATTGTAATATATTGATATGGCGAATCCGGACAACTTGATAAATTTCTATAGCCTATAAATGTATCATGTGCTTGGTACTATATAAAGTAAGAAATAAAATTGATTAGCTTTTTTCTGAAATGCGATTTCCTTCTACGATATCTGCGAGAAGGTGTACGTGTACACTTGTAAAACACGATGATCGCGCGAGGCTTTTTATTCTTTCAGTTAATATTCTAGCCTTTCGATTTTTTTGTATCCTTTGATCAAATGTATTATTGAGACTTACACACGCATTTCTCATCGCAAATGAGATTAATTTTGTCACGTCTAACTTTCAATAGGATTCTCGATGAAAGCAACTACTCCAAGTCTTCAACAGACGCGGACGAACCAAAATAAACGCATTGGAAGTTGAGAAACGTAAGTAGAATAACGCTTTTAAAAATAAATATCCCAGATACACGTGCACGGCCCATTTCGCAATAAAACAGCATGAATAGTATTTTTCAACGTCCTGGAAACAATTTCGCGTACGTTTACATTGTGCCTTTGTTCCGTGGAATTACTCTATGTATCTCAAACTTTAATCATTAACCAACTCGAGAAAACTAATATTACACCTCAAATAATAGAATCACACTTTTCTCATATGCAATTACTTTCACATATTAATTTTAAAATAAATTAATTTCATTAATATATAAAAATAACTTTTGTATTAACAATATAAAAATATCTTTTTAATTACTTTTGTACTTGAGATTTAAAATTCAAATCGAAGAGAAATTTATTATGCAAAATATCGCATAATGCAAACCATCGTATATGATCAACACGTTATAGATAGAAGAAAATTGTATTAGCATGGCTAATTTTAATTAGATAAAGAACAAAATCTGTGGTAAAATTTTCCTCGTTATACTAACGATGTGCGAGCATCTTCTTACGTTGCCAAGAGATGTTGGGTCATATCCCTTTTAGCTCAAGTTACGTCATAAATATATCTAATTAAGGCTCTGAAGAATCCATCCAGAATTCCATAACTGGAACGAAAATTTTATTACTTCAAAATTTTTTTAAACTTATTATAATTGGAAACATAAAACTGGAACGAAAATTTTATTACTTCAAAATTTTTTTTTATTCATTATAATTTTTATTCATTTCATATGCGCGTAAACTCATTTTGATAACATTTTTGACAAAATTTAACATTTCTGTATAGATTATAAAATACGATTTTTGATCATTTGAAGCAAACGTTTTATAAATGTAAGAAAGTACAAACGATGTGAAAAAATATAACAAAGTATCTTTGTTATATTTATGAACAAAATTAATATGATTAAATGTTTCTAAGAAGAAGTAACTCATTTAAATTCTTGGAACAAACACAGCTTAACCGAAAATAAAATGGCTTTGATGTGCGCTGTTGCATTTTTACATTAAAAAAATGTAAAGGAATTGCATATATTTTTCAGAAATCTATGAAGTCGGAAGTGAGCAGTTACCATAGTCACGGTAGTCCGCTTGCAATAATGCCTCCGTCACTTAATTAATTTTTTTTTTTCGCTTACTTTATATCTATACATATATCTACGACGTTTTCCACGATAACAATATTACGTCGTATTATGTAAACCATGATTAATCTCGTAACCTTGCCATTTAGTGACTAATAGCCCGACATTGTTGATAATAGCGGTCACGGGTTGTAGCTCGCATCAGCTGATTATGAATGCAATTGATAAAAAGAATCACAAAACAGCTGCTGGCATACGATTTATGGAAATGGGCGAAGATATTTCTCCAACCTGAGGCACGCGACAGTGGGACGAGGCGCGTTTTGTTTGTACATGATAGGACCAAGCCTAGACAGCTAATATTTGTGGCAGCTAAAATATAAATGTCATTAATAGTTGCTTCCGTGATTCCTAGGCCGCGCCTATTTATTCGGAAAAATCTCCGACACATAGTGCTTCACTAGTGTTTTTTTTTTATGTACATTTATCCTTACAGAGAGCTTGAAATATGCAATGTTATATTGTCAACAAATTTTAACGATCACACGTAATGCAATACGAGATAGCTTTTAAAAAAAACCTAAACAATTTATTAGTTTAATTTGCAAAAATGGCACTGACATTATTGCACAATCCATTTTTGCCAATTTGGGTTTCTAAAAAAAAAAAAAAATGTTTTTTTGCTGGAAAAATTATTTATTTCCCACGCAAAATTTATCGTCATTTATCGGCGACACGAAAAACCATGTTTGCAAGCAAGCATTGTGTGCAACCGCGTCCATCGATTGGCGAATTCGCACGAATTTGATAGATGTCATACACATGAACCAATCCGCCGGTTCAGCGAGCTATCATTAATTTCCAAAACGTATAAAAACGAGTGCGTGTTTATTAAATCTCGGTAAATATATTTTAATTTTTTCATCATAATTGACTGATCAAAATACAGACTGTATAATTATAAATTCAATTAATTATTTTCATCGTCAATTGATTGACAACTCTGATCAAGTATGATTAAAATTAAATCTTCCGAGGCAATACATTTACAGATACCTGGGAATTAAAGCTAACAATAAGACTCCAAAGGATGCCAAAGGAATTACACAGTTGAATGGAACTGCTCAGAGTGATTGACAGTCGGAGGCGACTATCGTTTTACCGGTCTATCTATTACGTCTCGTTACTCCTCGATAAATGTCGCGCATTAATTGATCGCGTATATCGACTAATGATTAATCGTACATCTCGACGTGCAATTGAATGGCTGGAACAATACTACTGATTGTTTCTACCAAAATTCCTAATTGATGCTGTATCCGGTTAATTCACATCGCGCGAATCGAGCGTTACAAGCACGACTGCATCGTTCATATGGGCGCATTCCAGTAATTGTACACATATAGACGCATGCACGCTCCTTCTCCGGATCATCCGCATTGCCCGTGATAGTTGACCAGTCTGGTTATCGATTACGGAATGTGAGTTCATTTCCTGTCACATTTCACGATTGAAAAGTAGCAATAAACGATAAATTCCCCATTGCGGTTTAATAGTGCCGCATATTTTCCATTCGCCGATAAATAATATCTAAAGATATATAAATTAAGATTCTTCGAAAATTGCCTGCATTTCGTAAAAAGATGCGTGCAATAAAAAAACATAGTATAGTCACATTGATAGAATATTTTCCATCAGAATAAGGAGGTCAGTCATTTAGCCACTTGAGTTTGCATATAAATAGTTCTTAATAACAAATATATGTATACACACATATATGCATACACACATTGAAGACCGTTTTATGATATCTAGTAAATGGCAGTGTTCGTCCTCTCGCATGAATGCATTAAGGTAATTGCATTGAGGTAATGTCTGCTTTTATGGCATTCGCGTATAACCGTGATTGCTGGATTATCAGCCGCTGTCAATTGTCGTGCGCTCATTTCCTAATGCATCTTTCCTTTCACATCAGACAAAACGCTTTGATGTGTAAAACATCTTCGACATGGTACACCGACACTGGTATTTCGATTAATTCATTTTTTTTTTGTGCAAATTTCGAGTCTCCGTATTATTTATTCGGAGATTCGCGAATCAGCTTACGATAAGGATTGCGGAAAACTTACGGAACTGCGACGTACACCAATTTCGGGTGCGGCTTCGTTCGTGAAAGCGTGGAGACGCATCCGCTGTGTCTCCTTAACGAGGTCAACGGAAGAGTTACTCTCATGGTTCCCGAGTCCCTTCGCGCCAGCCTGGGTGCGATTTCGTGAGGTATAACGAGGGCGTACTCATCCATTTTGAGAAACATCCGTTGCCTTCTCCCATCCAGCTTCCACCGGTATATTTATAAGTTTCCGTTCTCTCCCGTCACAGTAACATCTGAACCGGGATACAGAGATTTCCTCTGACCGTTATTTTTCTTCGATGATTTGCGTGAAGTGCGTTTACATCGAAGTTGCATAACACGATCGATTTTTCCAGGCACCACTGTTATTAGATTGTTTATCATTCTAACTGACTACTGCTGTAGCAGTTGGATAGCGTTGGATATAAATGACATTATTGATCGATCGATTAATCAACTTGATATTTACGATTGCATGCTGAAAGTAATTGTATTCCTTTATGAAATTTTTTTGATCGTCATTACACTTTCTTTTTATAATTAATTTGTTCATAAA